CTCTCCATAGTTCCTATTGTTATCTTTGCGCACTAGACAACTGCATTGCTACCATTAGTAGCAACTTTTGTCACAGCTTTCTGAATGTTGATGTTTATATATTGCACTCCTGTCTCTTAATAGTGATTTTAATTTCCATTACTTAGACTGTAAGGATACTTAGAATTATTTTACCATTGAGAATTTTTAATCAATATTAATTATGTGGCTATAGGACTTGCTTTTCCCCTCCTCCTTTTTTTGGGGTCCAGTCCTGGGCCTGAACTCTGGGCTTGGGCGCTGTCCCTCAGCTCTTCAGCTCAAGGCTAGTGCTCTACCACTTGAGCCACAGCACCACTTCTGGCTTTTTTTCTGCTTATGTGGTGCTGAGGAATTGAACCCAGGGCCTCATGCATGCAAGGCAAGTGCTCTACCACTGAGCCACCTTCCCAGACCCAGGACTTGCTTTTCATAATCAATACTCTATAGAAAGCTCTCAAATAAAATTGATGCATTTCTGCTTACAGATGACTTAACTGGTTGTAAGTTAGGCAGTCTTCCAGCAGAAGTTTTTGGAATCACAAAAGTATAATTACTAAGAAAAAGGAATTTATATTTTACCATCAGAATAATTATCACAATTCATTCTTAAAAATTTATAACTAAATTGCACTGAACTAAATACTTTAAGTTGTGCAGAATTTTAGATTTTAAGATTATAAACAGTGACTATAAGGATTGAAGGCCTGACATCATAGAAATTAAGAAAACAATATTGCTTAGGGAAGTACTGGAAAAACTCTGTGATATATAAGATAATAATATATAAACCAGGGAAAAATCTACTAGGAAAGTCTATGTCTAAAATGTACTAAGTCTAAAATGTACTAACTTATTATTTTTAAATTTATGTCCTACATTTAAATTATTTACTTGAGAAGTAAATAGAAATATAAGTCTTTTACTATTCAGTTTCTTTTTGTCAAATTTATGAAGATTAAACCAAAAAAAATCTCTTTAGACGAGCATTAATGGTTACTACAGTATCAAAACAGATTTAACCTAATTTCTCTCACTTTTCTATCATTTTTCTCTCAAAGTGATTTACACAGATGTAAAGCAAAAATCTTACAAATACAAATATACTTGTGTGTGTAAGTACCAGGACTTGAACTCAGAACCTTGCATTCTCAATTTTTGTGCTTATGACTGATATATAATGAGTATTTAAATCACCTCTCCTTGAAGTCGTTAGGTGGAAATTAATAGCAGATGTCAGCATGCAGAGCACTGTCATAATTCACAACCAGAAAGTAACAACCTTTCTTTTAAGTCATTTCTCAAGAAAATCAGTTCCAAAGCACCTGAGTTTTTGAGATTTGTAAATTCTTTTAGAATGTCATATTAAAATATTTCAAAGTAAGTTTAAAAGCATTCCCTGTTGGATGTTTACTTACAGCCTTTATCTTTGCCTGCTGACTTGCAGATGTGCTGGATGTCGAGAAAGGATTGCAGGGTGAAATTAGATGGTCCTGGTCAGAATTCCAATTCTTCTATATCTCAGCTCTGCGTGTCTGGACAGATTACTCAACATTTGAAGACCGAATTTTCTCAGCCATAAAATATACTTGCTGGCTTGGCACTTGGTGTGTGGTGCTTGTAATTTTAGTCATTCAAGAGGCTGAGATCTGAGGATCAACAGTTCACCTAGCCTACGCAGGAAAAGTCCATAAGACTTATATCCAGTTAACCACCAAAAAGCCATAAATGGAGCTGTAGCTCAAGTGGTAGAGTACTAACCTTAAGCCAGAAATCTCAAAGACAGCACCAGGCCCTAAGTTCAAGCAGCAGAATACCTCTTTAAGTGCCTACTCACATCAGCTGGCTGAATTTATACCCTTGAAGCAATCGTTAACTTTGCATGTCCTTTCCACTTTCTACCCCAATATGGCCATGTTTTTGTTACCATTACCATTACAAACTCTACAAATACTAGCAAATAGAATTCTCTATGTCTTAAAAGAATTATATGCAATAATTAGGAATGGTTTATTGCAAAAAGGCAAAAATGGTACAATATTAGGAAATCTATGTCATTAATACCATAGAGTTATCATATGGTCATTTCAAGTTATTTAATAAAGATCCATTCTTCATTTTGAGTGACAGCTAAATTTTAGAAGGAATAGAAGGAAGCTTCTTAAACATAACAATGTTTTATTATTTTTACCATTTCATCTTTGTTTGATGACCATAATAGTTTTGAAAATGACATAGTTAATCCTGTTAAAGGTTTTTAGAATGAATAATCCATGAGAAATCAGTTTCCTCGAGTGGAAATAGGACAATGAAACCTGTTAAAAATGTTGTATGTAGGAGGGAAGGAGATAAGACAGAGTATAGAAGGAGTGAGATTGATTGGGATACATTTTTATCGGTGTAGAAATGTGACAATAATTATCCCCTTGTATATTTAATGTCTACTAATAAAAATTAATTTTAAAAAGAAATTACTCCCTTTAAACATCTTAAATCATGCTGTATCCAAAGGAAACTTCATTTTTATGAGACTAAACTATTTTGGATGAAGGTAAAAAGATATGTGTGCCCTCACAATATCTATGAATGTGTATCAACCACTCAAGTGGAACTTCATGGAGAGTTTGAACCTGTGGTTTTGTTTATAACGTGTCAGAGAATCAGAGTGTACCTTTAGATAGAGTCCAGCATTGTACACTCTCCTTAGTAAAAAAAAAAATAGTATCCTTAAAATAGCTTTAAAAAATACAAGGGCCTAACCAAGGAGATCTAATTCAGTATGATACAAATTAAAGTCTAGACACCTAAGTTTTCATGCTTGTGAACATTGAGGATAAAAACCAGTGATATATGGGCTAGGAAAGTGGCTCAGTGATAGAGTGGTGAGGCCCTGGGTTTGATTCCTCTGCACCACATAAGCAGAAAAAGCCAGAAGTGGCACTGTGGCTCAAGTGGTAGAGTGCTAGCCTTGAGCTGAAGAGCTCTGGGACAGCGCCTCGGCCCAGAGTTCAAGCCCCATGACTGGCAAAAAAAAAAAAAAAGCCCCAGTGATCCAGTCCACTGTTTGCTGGGGTGTACAGGATGTGGGAGATGACGTTGGAAAGCTATATTGGAGACAAATGATAATTGGACTCATTGTTTGGGATTTGACAGCTTGTATTGCATTTTTACTTATTGTGTATTTATATTCTGTTACATCACCAGAATCTCTCCATTAGATACATCGAGATATCCATTAAACAGAACTCTTCCCCTGAATGAATTCAAAGAATAACATGTGAGGTGAAATGAAATGTAAGGATCTGTCAGTGTGGCTATGCAATCACCCCCAAATTTAAAGAAGACATTTAATTATCACTCATAATCTTGCTGGTTGACTGAATTCAGCTGAGCACTGCTCTACCTGGGGAATCCATTAAAATTGAATGTTTAGGATGGCTCACCTAAGGCTTTCAGCTGAGAGCTCAACTGGGGTCATCAGCAGAGCATCTCCCTTGTCTTCTCATAGCATGGCAGATGGTTCCCAATAGAAAGCATCTCAAGGGCATATATTGGAAAAGACCAAAGCTACAATGCTTTTGAAGACCTAGCTTTGGTTCCTCCTACATTACTTCTACCATCTCCTGTAGGCCAAGCAAATCAATATGGCCAAGTCAGCTTCAATGAAAGGTGAAAAAACTCTGCTTCCTGATGAGGAGGCAGTGTGCACATACAAAGAAAGAAGATTGATAGGAACTATTTTTAGAGCCTTGCTACCCCAATCTTAATACATCAAGTAATAAAGCATCAAAATGTGTCCATAAAGCCAAATTTTAGTATAGTTACACAAATGTCAGTAATCATGCCATTAGACAGAATAATAATGGAATCAGAATAATATAAATAGTTGTGTAATAATAATGAAGTTAGAATGATAAAAATAATGGAATCAGGGGCTGGGAAGGTGGCTCAGTGGTAGAGCGCTTGCCTTGCGTGCATGAGGCCCTGGATTCGATTCCTCAGCACCACATAAGCAAAAAGAAAAAAGCCGGAAGTGGCGCTGTGGCTCAAGTGGTAGAGCGCTAGCCTTGAGCTGAAGAGCTGAGGGACAGCACCAGGCCCAGAGTTCAGGCCCCACGACCGGACCCAAAAAAAAATGGAATCAGAATAATATAAAATACTTGTTAATAGATTTATGTCTTTAATTCTTTATCTGACAATCAAGACTTATTTCAGGTATCCATAGAGTATCTGCCTCTCCCCTCCAACCAAAGGGAAGCACTTGATCCCTGAACATACAGGAAAGTCCTAACATGATAGGTTAGGACCGTGACCTGACAGAAACAAGTACAGTTGTGTTTGTTTAATCTATTTGGTACTGTTCTATATTAAGTACATTCTTCAATTTGGGAATCTCTTCCTCTGGATGACTTTTTACACATGGCATGAATAATTGGGTTATACATTCTCAATTTCTTCCCTAGTTTTTAATCATTTTCTGAGCAGCATGGAAGGTGGTTTTGTTTTGATTGCTCACAGTGTCAAGATAAGAGCACTTTTGACTTGTCTTGGGTAATCAGAGTACTTCCAGGTTTCATCCAACAGCCACTCTTCTATTTTGCCAATAGTCCTGAGCTGGGTGGGAAGTGAACTAGAATTGCTGCTGTCACTTATTTTCCATGTATCACTTTTAATGCCCTTAAGAAAACAACTAGTTCTAAGATAAGAGTATTTGAGGTATAGAGGGTGGAATCTGGTTCTTCACTTTCTGAAGTTTGTGTTACTTTGTTATCTTGGTTGAAATACTCTAAGATGGGAGCCCAAGGAATGGGGATAATATATTTTCTTAATACATTTATCACCATATCACGATGGTGACAAATCACCATGTGATTTATAGGAGTTCTTTCCAAATCAAATCTTGTCATGAAATCACTCAAGATGGGGAGATTTTAAGTCAACACCCAACTTCCTCAGTAACACAGATCTGTTTTCCATTGTAGGTTGTCACCTTGTGGTACCGGGCTCCTGAAGTCTTGCTCCAGTCCAGCTATGCCACCCCCGTGGACCTCTGGAGTGTTGGCTGTATCTTTGCAGAAATGTTTCGTAGAAAGTAAGAAATACATTCCCTTTTTGAATCTTCAGTGATTGTAAGTGGCCCCATGGCATTTCTGTCTCAGTGATGTTCATGGTCTGAATCCATCGGTGCCTGACTGCTGCTTCTGGGCCTGCCCTGAAACCACTTTCTTAGTCCTTTACAATGGAGTTTTGTCTGTGCCTTCTAGCTCTTAGAAAACTCTGGGAAGGAGTACCCCATTATTTTATTGACATACCTTGTTTATGTTGTTAATGATGACATGATGAAGCATATTGTAATATTTTCTTAGGGAGGAAATATTAAGGAAGCATATTATAATATTTTCTTAAGGAAGAAATATCCTCAAGGTAAGACCTTTTCCACAGCACAATCACGACCCTAAAGAACATGGGAATTTTATAATAGCAATTCTGACGATAAGAACTGCTGGGAAAAATGAGGCTGAAAGGGTATAGGCAAGGAGGATATCAATATTGTCTCAGAATACTTTACTGTCATGTGGAAGAGAAACTGGGCATATTTAGGTTACTATAGAGGGAAGAAATGTCAGCAAGGATATAGAAATTAAAGAAATAAAGATACTTTCTTAGAGGGGAGACAATCTAACAATTAGACAACTATCAGAAATCTGTACTGGGATTTGTAAATTATCACATTGATATCTAAGAAGAGTCTGGCCCTCCTCACATTGGAGATGGCTTTTAGCCTCATCCATGGGGTCAGATGGGTGAGATTCATGGTTTTCAGAGCCACCCTGCATAAGAGAGTCTGTAGTTCATTCGTTTGACATTCAGGTCACAAAAAAATAGCCAAACAATATAATAAGGATCTGCCAGGAAAATAATCCATACCTGGGTACTAAGTTCAGCTTGAGCAAAGTTAAACAGAAGTGAGTTATAATCTAATCTTTTTCTTTTCTATTTTTATATCCATGGGAAAAAATGTGAGTAGGGAAGCTGAATATATTCCCATTGGACCTGGTATGTCCAAATTGTAGCTTCAGGGTACCTCATAAGGAAAAAGAAGTGCTTAGCTGTTGCTTGTTTGTTTGCTTGCTTACTTGTTTAAACCAAGAAAAAAAAAGCTTTATATAATGAATTTTGAGAACTCTTCTCTAGAACTCATTTGTATCTCATAGGATCGGGGAGTACAAAGATGTTAGACACCGTCCTAGTGTGTACCCAGTACAGTGCCCAAAGGTCTTCCTTTGAGTCACCTCTTTTAATCCTTACAATAAGAGGAAACTAAAATGGAGTGGTTAATTTGTTTGTCTAAAATCAGGCAGCTAAGAGGTAACAAGTCTATGAATAAAAAGGAAGTTGTGAGACTTCTGATCCAGTATTGTTCTTCTACAAGGGAAGTAAGAAAAAAAAAAGCTTCAATTCTGCTGTAGTGTCTACCAGGCAAGCTGAATAAGTAGTTTCTGAAAGCTTGGTCTTTGGGTGGTAGCATCAGCCTCTTCAGACCTTGTTGGAAAGGCAGATTCTCAGGCCCCATTCCAGACCTAATGAATTTGAAGCTCTTGAACTGAAGACCAGTAACCTGTGCTTTAGTAAACCCTCCACTTGATCTTAAAACACCCTGTAGGATACAAACCACTAGACTGGATGACAATCACCAAGGAGGACAGTCTTCAAAAGGGTGACTTCCAGGGCTGGGAAGGTGGCTCAGTGGTAGAGTGCTTGCCCCTCATGCATGAGGCCCTGGGTTCGATTCCTCAGCACCACATAAGCAGAAAAGGCCAGAACTGGCACTGTGAGTCAAGTGGTAGAGCACTAGACTTGAGCTGAAGAGCTGAGGGGCAGTGCCAGGCCCACAGTTCAGGCTCCATGACCAAAGGAAAAAAAAAAAGGGACTTCGAGGACACTCTCTTCAGATTCTGACTCGTTGTTAAGCTAAGAATTCTTTTTTTTTTTTTTTTAATGTCTCAGGCTGAGTGCCAGTAGCTCATGCCTGTAGTCCTACTTACCTAGGAAGCTGAGATCAGGGATCACAGTTCAAAGCTAGCCTAGGCAAGAAAGTCCGTGAGACTCTTATCTCCAATTAGCTGCCAAAAAAGCTGGAAGTGGAGCTGTGGTTCAAGCAAATTGCTAGCCTTGAACAAAAAAGCTCAGGGACAGCCCCTAGGCCCTGAGTTAAAGCCCCAGGATCAGTACCAAAAAAAAAAAAAAAAAAAAAAGTGTCTCAGGTAATGGTTTTTCATCCAGTGTAGAAAACCTTGTGTTGAAGTCATATGGGCAGAGCAGGAATAAGTGACACAGCAGAGGAGGGAAAAGAAGTAGGATAGTTATTCCAGGTCATTTGCAGAATAGCTTGGTGTAGCTAAGAGTTGAGAGAAATGATTATTGCAATTACAATTATGTGTCTAGAATTTCCCTCAGTGTGAAGATGGAATTCCCTTTTTTTTAGTATAGGTGGGGCGGAAGGAATGTTGGAAAGCTGTTCTTTTTTAGCAATACAAACTTGAAGGTATCAACCATGATTTTTTTTAAAAAGAGTATTTTTAAAACTTACAACGAAGATGAAATTTAAGATGCATAGAATTAAACATTCACTGGTAAAGAATTTGCTGTGTTTTCGATGTAGGCATTTCCCTCCTGTGGAACAATCGCAACCACAATTTTTATTTTTCACTGAAGTGATAGTGTAATTAGTAATCAGGTCCTCAGCCTAGCTTGCAGACACATGTATGTTACCTAGAATAAAATATCAATTGTGCTAATTCATCAAACCCCCTACATACGTACATACACATTATATAATACATAGTATAATTTGTGTGTTTATATATGTATAATTTGATTTTTCTATTCTGCCATGCTTCTGCTCTTAGTGTTATTTGACTTACAAGACCATATTTTTGTTCTAGAATGTTTTGTGTCATATTATAATAGAGCAGGAATTATATTTTAAGAGACCAAGGAGCAAGTCATACATTGAATGACTTTGGTTGCCAGTCTCCCTGATATTGGAAAGTTTGATTAATTCCATGTCATACAATTAAGAGGTATGTGCCTTCTCTTTTCAAGTTGAATACTGAGGAAATATGAACTCAGTAAAGAGAGTCTTTATGCAGATGGTTGTCAGAGAGCCAGAGAATTTAAATACCATCTGTCACAGTTATCCGACTTTAATAATTGTCCACACTGACATGCAGAAGCATTCTACAAAGTGGATTAGAGACTTTTTAAAATCTCCTTCCTTCATCTCTTTGTTCTTGGACAGTCCATCTTTACTTCGCATTGAGACATTGTATGAATTTTCTGGTGACCAGTCTGTTTTTTTTTTTTTTTTTTTGCCAGTCGTGGGGCCTGAACTCTGGATCTGGGCGCTGACCCTCAGCTCTTCAGCTCAAGGCTAGTGCTCTACCACTTAAGCCACAGCCCAACTTCCGGCTTTTTCCATTTATGTGGTGCTGAGGAATCAAACCCAGGGCCTCATGCATGCAGGGCAAGCGCTCTATCACTGAGCCACCTTCCCAGCCTCATGACCAGTCATCTTAAAGAACTAAGAGAGGTAGACAGGGTAGACAGAGTAGGTAAGTAGATAGAGACAGAGAGACAGAGGCAGAGACAAAGACAGATAAGATAGATAGATAGATAGATAGATAGATAGATAGATAGATAGATAGATAGATAGTAGGATAGGATAGATTGATCATAACTACATGATAAAATAAATTTAGTGTCAGTTCTATGTGTATCTATCTGTTGCCTTTTGATCTTGTCATAACTGTTGTTTGTTGTCTGTGGTTTGAAAAAATATGGGGTTTTCCAGGTTAGAGCAAAGTTATAAAAATGCATATTTTAACATGCTACTAATTCTTTGAATATGGAGATTGTGGCAAACAGATAGTAATTCTTAGAAGTTCTGGGTTACCAGCTCTGCTGATCCCTAGCTAAGAAATGCCAAATGCCAGCAGGAAGAACATAACAAACACATTCACTGTTAGAAGGAAACAAACAAGACTTCATGGTTATATTGTCTCTTGTCTGGTGGCCTCTCTAGGCTTGTTGTCAATTATTTCTATGAATTAAATACGCAGTAACTGAGAAACTGAAGTGAAACTGTCCTTTGTGATTTGGTGGCCAGTGAGCAAATGTCTAAAAGGTCACTGGATGCCTTGCCAGTTTTTTCATTGGTTACTCTGTTGTTGCTTCTCCCTATTTGAGTGCTCTTCTACATCAAGGAAATGAGGCCCTTAGTGGACTGCTTCAGAGACTAAGGTTCTAGAATATCATAAACCCACTGCTATGAAAGAAAACCCATCACCTCAGGTCAGAACACAAGTATGCAACTCAGGGCACTTAGCTGAACTTGTAGGTTTACTTATCTATCAGAGTTACCTAAAGAAAAACTCTAAAGGATCATTTTCTGGAGTGAAGAAAGATCCAAGTTAGTACACAGAAAAAAAATTAATCTTGGTTGAGTAATTCATTCAAGCCAGTTCTGCCTAAGAGCATTACTAATTCTGTAATGAATCAATATTTGTTTATGGTAGTGGGGATTGAACTCAGGATCTGCATACTTTCTAGGCAGGTGAGCTACCACTTGAGGGCCATTTGTTCTGCTGATGGAATTACATCCCCACAGCTACTCAGCTCGGGCTTCAAAGCCAAAGTCACCTTGGAATCTTCCTGTATCTGAGTCCTGTAGATTCTGTTCCTTTGGTTGTCTCAAATCTTGCCCCTTTCCATTCTGATTTATGTCATAACGTTTAACAGTCACCCAGCCTGAAGCAAAAACCTACTAGTCTGTTCCCTGCTGATTCGTGTATTTCTGATAAGTTAATACTCATTATCACCTTTGTCAAAATTTAACAAAACCAGCATAGATCATTAGTCCTAAGGCCTTCCTATAGAATGCTCCTACTTTATTCTGTCTATAACATATACTTCTCCCAAGATGCCACTGTTTGTGAAAATGTTCTACCTGTTCTTTTCCAAAGCTTGTCTCAAGATTTCCTCCTTAGAAACCATTGTTCTCTTACCTGCTCTTATCTTCCAGGGTGGAGC